AAAACATATATATTTCCATTAACAAATGAATGGATAAACCAATTGTGACATATACATACAACAAGGTATTATTCAGTCATAAAATGAAAGATATTTTGATATATACTGCAACATGTATTGACCTTGAAATGTTATACTTAGTGAAATAAAGTAGACACAGAGAAACATGTTATATGATTCCACTTAAGTTAGATTTCTAGAATAAACAAACTCATTTTTGACTGGACTGGAGGGTGAGGGGACAAATGGAAATTGCTATTTAATGGGGACAGAGAGTTTTCAGCGGTGATGAAAAAGTTTTCATGTATATAGTGGTAGAACTTACACAACATTGTGAATGTATTTAATGCTACTAATTATAAAATTGTGAATCGTTAAAAGTTTAAATATTATTCTTTATATAGTACCACAATAAAAATAATGTTCAGTTTCAACAAATAAGTAGAAAATATGAAACTAAACTGAAGAGTGTAATCCACATGGGGGGGACAGGAAATAGAAAAGCCTATGAGAGAGAACAAATGTGAAACTTAACAGATAAATATTTGAAATTCATCATGAAAATATGTTTAGAGAACTAACCAAAACTAAATTTAAAGAAGTAATGGAAGGTATGAAGACCATGCCTCATGAAATAGATAATGTCAATATACGAGATAGAATCAAAGGCAAATTCTAGAGATGAAAAGACCAAACTAAAATGAAAAATATGTTAGAAAGCTCAACAGTAGATTAAAATTTGCTGAGAAAAGAATCAATAAACTTGAAGATAGATTGATAAATATTATGCAATCTAAAGTACAGAGAGTCAATAGAATAAAGGAAAAAGAACAAACACTCAGAGATGTGGGCCACCACTACTGAACCAACACATATATAATGGGAGTCCCAAAAGAAAAGAAAAGAGTGAAAGAATCAGAAAAGAATATTTCATGAAATAATGGCTAACAACTTGCCTATTTTCTGAAGAAAAAAAAGCATTACTTATATATCCAAGAATTTCAATGAACTGCAATTAGAATAAATGAACAGTTTCACATGCAGACACAAGAGAACCCTAGTATATTAACAGCAGACTTTTACTTGGAAACAATGTAGGTCAGAAGGGAATGGGGTGACGTATTACAAGTGCTGCCACAAAAAAAGAAAGAAAGAAAGAAAGAAGAAGTAAAGTGTCAAACAAGAAGTATTCCAGCAAAATTAACTTTCAGTAATAATGGCAAATACAAACAATGTGAGATAAGTAATATACGAAACAATTCAGTGCTACCAAAACTTCTAGCACAGAAGAGTTAATTTCATAGATGACTCTGTAACAGTAATTAGCAAATGGTAAATATCAACTTCAAATAGCACAAATATAATTTTACACTCAAAAAATTAATTTCATGAATCATGTAAATACATTTTCAGATTTAACATAAAACCAAAACAAACCAAAGGTGACTTTATGAGTAGGTCCCTAACAAGAAAATCTTTGAAATGTGTACTTTAGGTAGAAGGATATTTATGTGATTGAAATGCCAAATTTTCTTGAACTTTTAAGACCACAGCTGTATCTTCACTGTTAACTCCCTCATGCTGGCTACAGAATGAACGCAGCAGGGGCAGCGATTTAGATGGAGGAAGGGAAGCTCTGTCTTGAGGTTGGTAGTTCCACCTGTCAACTGGAGTGACCTAATTCAGCACAGTAACTCACCTAACTGAGGACACCTGGCTACTTCTGGACTGCTATGTCAGAGACAGAGAGTTTTGTCCTATTTAATCCACTGTATTTTGCAGTTTCTCCCTGTCAATTTCATTGTCCTCATTCTCCAACCATGGATTCCCTCTTAGCTTTTGGAATCATTGATTTTTTACCATTTTTTTGAGAGTGGAGCCTTTCAGGATATCAACATTCTGTAGGTTTTCTTGTTTTAAATATCCAGTGTATATAAGCACCTTGAGTAGGTTTTGAAAGCAGAAACTCAGAATATCCAGTGTATATAAGCACCGTGAGTAGGTTTTGAAAGCAGAAACTCAAGGAGGGCTAAGGATGACTGTGGCAATGCTGAACTCCTGCTCTTCCTACTTCCAATTTGTTTTCTCCCAGGGCATTCTGTGATACCACATAAGCTCAATCGTGCATTTGTCTGTATTTTTAAATAACATATCAAGAGTCTTATGTTTCATAATTTGAGGACTCAAAGTTTGCTAGATTTGCATGTAAATTTTTATATAGAACAGTTAATCCTAACAAATGACAAATCAAATATTTATTTGCACTTGGCAAGGATCCAATTATTTTGGAATAGAAAATTACCACAAACGTACTTTATATCAGTAACAAGAAGGAGGATTTAGTGTTGCTCAGTTTTAATCTTTCTATTATGTCCATCATACTGTGTTATGATATGTAACTGATGTGACCCATTATTTGATCAGATACAGCTTTTGAACACTGTTTTAAATGAGATCAATGAAAAAAACATACATTTTATATACATTTGTGAATATAAGATTCAGATTCATTTTCTGATAAAGATGTTATCACTTGAAAATAACACATTTCTGTATTGTTTCAAACATTTCTTATGACACTATAGTACCAAATTTGTGATCTCTAAAGTAGAACCTGGGTTAAATACCTTTAAAATATTTAGAATTTTATAGACAACTGAAAATTTCATATAATTCTGCATTTTTCCTGTTGTACATGTTGGAAATTTTGCATTATCCATCTTTCAGTTCTGCTGTCTATTTTCAAAGCCAACTTTTAGAATTGCACAAACTCCTGTTCCACTCAGTGAAAGGTAGTTCAGGGAAATCACAATCTCTTGGCATTAGAATCTTATATCTCCTCTGAATTTACAAAGTCTATTAAAATACTCAAAAATCAATCATTTTTACTAATTATACTCTGCCATTCTCTACCAGAAGATGGCTCATGGATAACAATTTTTGAATGTGATAATGGAAAGGGTAGTTTACTGTAAGCAGTAAAGAAGTAGGAAGTTGGAAAACAGAAAGTACCAATGTTTCAATATTACCAAGTATCATCTTGTGGAAAATATACCTCAAACTGGCAATTTCCAACATATATTCAACTTTTGTTGAATCATTTGCTTCATGTGTCTGGTTGTTATGCCTACTAAATTTTCTAGTCATATACAGGCAAGGCAGAGAGGATTAGGAAGAGCTTTCATTCAACTCTACTTTTCATCATAACGGGCTTTCACATGATACTGGGACCGGCTAAATTATCCCAACTGCTTATGCCATTGTAAGTCTGTTGCAGCTGATGAGGTCTTACCATGTAGTACCTGAGGTGTAGCTGAGGCTCTCATGGTCCAGACCCCTCAACTGCAAACTAATCCCATGAAATCTGCAACATCTTCCTCTTTCACAGACATAGATAATCTGCTGCACTGTTCCTCAAACAAAAAACACATGTGGGTTCCTTGGCCATGCCAGTTGGGAGGTTTGTGTTCCAGGCTGCGTCACTGTGGAAGGAAGTTGTATAGCTTGCTGGCAGTAATGAACTCCAAAATCCTCATCCTCAACCCTGCTGATCTTCAGTGTGAAGTCAGTCCCTACTCCGCTGCGACTGAAACTTTCTGGGTCCCCATAGGCCTGGTTGGAAACCCCATAGATCAGGAGCCTGACCTGGCTTCTGCAGGTATCAATTCAAATATGTCTTTCCATTACTATGTCAGAGGCTCTGACTGGCTCTGCAGGAGAGGGAGGCCTGCTCTCCAGGGATGATGGGCAGAGAGACTAGTCTGGGCCATCATCCCCCATTGGATCCTAAAATATGAAAGAGAAATGCAAGCTTCTGTGCAAACATTAAAAGTGATATTCATGATTTCCCTTTTGTATTTATTTCTGACCAATCCTTTTTTTTAAACATTGAATAATACCATAAAAATTAGACATACTAAAATAAGCCCAAAATTTCCAAGGCATAGGAGGATTTTTTTTCTTTTTCAAGATCTTCATGAGAGCACTAGTCATTATTTCCTTTAAGCAAATTCTAATTCTCACATAACACAATGTCAAATGTCCTTCTTTGGGGAACAAAGCATATGCCTTTAAAATATGTTCAGAACACATATGGGAAACAGTAGAGACCCAAGAGCTCACCCTCAAACCCCTTCTCCCACTCATCTCACTTCTGCCTTTACCATGGATCCAGAGCATCAGCAGCCCCAGGAGCTGAGCAGGGAACCTCATTTTGAGAAGACGAACTGAGGGGACCTGATAAGTTAATGCAAGGTTAGAGCTGAGCTTTTTTCTCAGACTAGCAGGAGAAGGTCCTCCCTAGGGGGACAGGACGCAAATCCCCTCATGGGTACAGCAGTGTGGAAAGAGCCAAATGGAGGGTAGACAGAGCCTAAGGGAGGGTGGGGACTTCACCTGTGAGCAAAGTGACATACAGTGTCTCTTGGAGGGGAACAAATATTGATTCAGTCAAACTTCCCTATAGTTAGGAAGAAGAATGCAACTCATAGTTTGAAGATTTTCAGGAACACAATGTGTTTGACCAGCCACTCTCAGACTGTGTGTCTAGGCTTAACCTTTGAGGGGTGAATGGTCACCCTACTTCACTCCCTTCCAGCTAATGTAGTGAAAAAAACAGCCTCCACCCAACAAGTACTGATTGTACAGAGTACCTATTGTAATTATGAATATGCCAACTATTCTGCTCTTATCATCATGTATTGTACACAAATTCTGATAGTCAATTCTTTACCACACAAGACTATTTAATCAATTATGTTTCAATAAAAAAATGAAAACAAAACAGGACAAATATTGATCTGCAGAGTGCCTCCAAATTAAAAAAAAAAGAGCCAGATCAAGAGTTGCCTGGTACCTGCGGCTCCCAGGATAATTTTTTAATAAACTGACTTCCAGGGACCTGGTGAGTTCAACTCCATAAGAGCGCTCTGTCAAAGGGCCTGACCAAGAGAAAGAAATGTATCTCTTGCACAGAGAGCTAAGAGCCCAGTTTAAGAAAGAAGAAAGGGGGAAGATTTTTTGCCTCAGGCAGGGAGAATAACATTTCCTGTGACCAGTGGTTTAATTTGGTATATATCCCATCTTAATGATGTTACATACATGAGATAAATCACAGAACATTGCTGAAAGAAAAACTTTCCAGGATAATTGTACAGAATAAAAAAAGGAAAAACCTTTGTGTTATGTTTTTCTGAGTGGTATTTAGAAAAGCCCTTCCCATACAGGGTTTTTCTTGTCATGTAGAACCATGTCTTGTCTGGGTCCCATTTTCTTATTTGCTGTCTGCAAGAACCGGAAATTCTCCCCTGGCCTGTGTATGGAACAGTCACACACACAAGTCCGTAGTTTAAAGTAAATTCCATGTATGAGAAGAGCAAGAACAGGAATTGTTGTTTCAATATCTCAGGGTAACCTGTACCTATTACCAGCATCTTCCTGGGCTTTCACTTAAAGAGGGTCACAGGTCAGGAATGTCAGTCTGCCACATCACTAGTGATTGAAATGCAAAAGCAGCCTAATTATTATTCACCTATCCTTGATACCCTTAATGCTGAATTGATTAGGTCCTGGAAAATGGTGCCAATTTCAAATCACTTCAAAAAAAAATAGTAACTGTACAAAAGAAAAAATTCTTGAGCAACCGATGGAATAGTTTGTTGTACTTTATAATGTTGAGTGATATCACCAAAGGCATATTTAATTCCCAAAGAACACAATCACACAAATACAGTTCTAAATATGATTCCACAAGAAAGCTTCATCTGAAGATCTTCAGGGAAATCTACCAAAATATGGTTTTTTTAATAAGTTTGGAGAAAATAATTGATTACAAATTATATTGACCTTTAAATGCACCCAATACTGGAGCACCAAATATATCAAGCAAACACTCTTAGACCTGAAGAAGGAGATAGGACGTAATACATGAACAGTGAGTGATCTAAACACCCCTCTCTCAGTATGGGACAGGACTTCCAGGCAACAAGTCAACAAAAAGACACAGGATTTAATCTACACCCTAGACCAACTGGACTTGGCAGATACGTACAGAACATTTCACCCAATAGATAAAGAATACACTTTCTTCTCATCAGCTCATGGAACATTCTCCAAGATAGACCACACATTAAGTCTCAAATCTAGTCTTGGAAAATTTTTAAAAATTGAAATTATGCCAACAATCTTTTCAGAACACAATGGACTAAAACTGGAGAGAAACAATAAGCAAAATGCTGGAAGCTATACAAATACACAAAAAATAAATAATAGGCTCCTTAGTGACTTATGGATCCAAGAAGAAATTAAACAGGAAATCAAAAAAATTCTAGAAACTAATGAAAATAAAGATACATCATATCAAAATCTCTGGGATACTGCAAAAGCAGTACTAAGAGGCAAATTTATTGCAGTTAGTGCTTATATCAAAAAAATGCAAAGACTTCAAGTAAACGACCTAACACTACACCTCAAAGAACTTGAAAAACAACAACAATCCAAACCTAAAGGCAGTACATGGAAAGAAATAATTAAGATCAGATCAGAACTAAGTGATATAGAGACCCAAAAAAACAATAGAAAAGATCAACAAAACTGAAAGTTTGTTTTTCAAGAAGAGAAACAAAATAGACACACTATTAGCTAGATTAACAAAATAAAGGAAGGAGAAGATCCAAATAATAAAAATCAGAAATGAAAAGGGAGACATTACAACTGATACCACAGATATATACATTTTTTTATCTATTTCTTTATAAAGTTCCTCCTTCAGATCCTAGATTTTTTTTTCATTTCATTACATCATCTATCTGATGTTTTTCTTATATCTCATTTAATTTCTTTAAGATTGTTGCTTGAAATTCCTTTATTTTATAGGTTTCCTATTGTTTGGGGTCTGTTACTGCAGAATTATTGTTTTCCTTTTGTGGTGTCATGTTTGTTTGTTTGTTTGTTTCGTATAACTTCGTATAATGTATGCTATACGAAGTTATTACGACCTATGGGTCCAAGAAGAAATTAAACAGGAAATCAAAAAACTTCTTGAAGCTAGTGAAAATAGAGACACATCATACCAAAACCTGTGGAATATTGCAAAAGCAGTACTAAGAGGAAAGTTTATTACAATAAATACTTACATCAAAAGAAAAGAAAGATTTCAAACAAACAATCTGACATTACCTGTCAAAGAACTGGAAAAATAAGAACAAATGCAATCCAAGAATTGCTAGTTGGAATGAAATAATTAAGATCAGAGCAGAACTAAATCAAACAGAGACCCCCAAAATGATATAAAGATTAATGAAATGAGAAGTTGGTTTTCTGAGAAGATAAACAAAATAGACAAACCATTAGCCAGGCTAACTAAAAAAAAAAATAAAGAGAAGATCCAAACAACAAAAATCAGAAATGAAAGGGAGACATTACAACTGATACCACATTAATATAAAGAATCATTAGAGACTATTATAAAGAACTGTATAACAAAAAATTTGAAAATCTGCAAGATATGGATAAGTTTTTACACACATAAACTAACAAGACTGAACTGAGAAGAGATTGAAAACCCAAACAGACCAATAACAAGCAAGGAGATTGAAGTGGTAATTAGCGATCTTCCAAGAAAAAAAAAATTCCAGGTCCGGATGGCTTATAGAAGAATTCTATCAATCATATAAAGAGGAATTAATACCTATTCTCCTCAAACTATTCCAAACAATTGAAACAGACACTATTCTCCCAAACTCATTCTATGAGGCCAATATAACTCTGATACCAAAACTAAAGACACAACAAAAAATAAAATTATAGGCCAATATCCTTGATGAAACTACATGTTAAAATTCTTGACAAAATATTAGTAATTAGAATACAGCAACATATTAAAAAAATTATACTCTATGATCAAGTGGGATTCATCCCAGGGATGCAAGGATGTTTTAACATATGAAAATCAATAAATGTGATAAATCACATCAACAAGCTCAAGGACAAAGACCATATGATTATCTCAATAGATGCTGAAAATGTATTTGACAAAATTCAACATTCCTTCATGATAAAGACTCTCAACAAATTAGGTATAGAAGGAAAATATCAACACAATAAAAGCCACTTGTAAGAAGCCCACCACCAGTATTATTCTGAATGGGGAAAAATTGAAGGCCTTCTCCTTAAGGACAGGACAAGACAAGGATGTCCACTCTCACCACTTCTGTTCAACATATACTGGAGGTACTAGCTAGAGCGATCAGGCAAGAGAAAGAAATAAAGGGAATCCAGACTGGAAAAGATGAAGTCAAATTTNAATACCAATGACATTCTTCACAGAAATGGAAAAAAACAACCCTATATTTCACATGGAAAAAACAACAGACCCCAAAGAGCCAAAGAAATCCTGAGCAAAAACAATAAACCTGGGGCATAACACCACCTGACTTCAAATTATACTACAAAGCTGTTGTAACCAAAACAGCATGGTACTGGTATAAAAATAGACATTCAGACCATTGGAGTAGAACAGAGAACTCGGAAATCACTCCTCAGGCTTATAGCCATCTGATATTAGACAAAGGCAATAAAAATCTACAATGGGGA